TATATATATGTAACATTCGTATTTAAAGCAGAGGGTGATCTTGCCAGGGATTTAGAACAGTATCTTTCCATACTGCTGAAGACAGGCGCCGCGACAGGAGGCGACAGCTCCAGTGGGACGGGATGCCGAGGTCAGTTAGGGCTCAGGCTGGCTCAGCTCAGCACAGGCAGGGCATGGGGTCCCAGAGAGGTTGCCACACCTGTGGGGGACAATGCTGGTAATGTCACCTGTGACTACAGCAACAAGGCTACTGTTTTTTAAAATATTTGTTTTTATTACCGACCATTTCCAGGATGTTATAATCTATAAACTGAGCTTTCACAACTCCAAAGGATAGAATAAGAAAGTAGATCCGGCCGAGACCGGTGTGGCACAGACTCAAAAGTCCCGGTTCGATTCCAGTCAAGGGCATGTACTTGGTTGCGGGCATATCCCCAGTGGGGGGTATGCAGGAGGCAGCTGATCGATGTCTCTTTCTCATCGATGTTTCTGGCTCTCTATCCCTCTCTCTTCCTCTCTGTAAAAAAATTAATAAAATATATTTTTAAAAAAGAAGGAAAAAAAAAAGTAGATCCGCAAGGTTCACTGAGGGGAGACATCCAGGTACTAATTGTATATCAAGTCAAACGCAACATGACTTGTGGGTAATAGGCAGTAATTCCTTTTAGCTGCACCAAGTTTTGACAAGTATTTTATGTAACTCTTACAGCAGTCCTGTGTAGAACACAAGAAACAAAGACATGCACTTTCCACAGTCACAGCAGGATAAAAAATAAGGTTTTTAAAAATGTGTAGAGCTGGTAGATTTTTGGTATTTCATTATCTTGAGTAGTTTTTTCTTTATGTCACTCTGTAGCATTACCCATGGCATCAACTGCAGTCCATGCAATCATTACCATCAAGACTCTGGCAATGAAACAAACTAGCCATAATTTCTGCCTAGTGTGAACTTAAGTATATCCTTATTGATGGATAAAATTATATGTCAGGCTATTATAGGAATAAGAATGAGATGGAGATAGGAAGGAGTGAGTTGTAATTTAAATGAAACAACACTGACCATGACTTGGTAATTGCTAAAGCTGGGAATCATTGTATTTTGATAAAATATCCCGTCATAAAAGTTAAAAATGCCATAAAGCCCCATAATTTAAACAAGTTCTTTCTCCATGCACTGCAGAGCATACATTGTTCATCATTGGTGTTTGGCCCAGTTTCCACGCAGGCTTACCCACTTGAGTGAGTGATTAGGCCACGTGAGTGTCACTGCTGAGGCACTCAGAGGGAGGAACATACTGACGGTTTTTTCAGAAGTCGACACTGTCCAGGTATTTGCTGGGATTTGCTGCAGAGTTGGCCCCAGAAGAGAACATGACCAGCAGGCAGACCCTGACCCTTGGCCTCAGGGTTAAAAATAGTGACCTATGTATATTTACGATGTCAGATTAGATTCATAGCAACTTCAAGTTATAGAAAACATTTGCTTCATACACACTGGCCTCAGAATCCTACAGATAGACGTTTGAATCCCCTACTCTGAGTAACTGAGCCATGTGACTTTAACAAAAGCACTTACACATTGATACGGTGAGGATTATAAACAACCCAATATGGGGGTATTCTGGTGCTTAGATGAAATAAAAATGTAGAAAATGCCTAGCGGAGCTCCTGGCACAGGAATGCCCTCAACAAAATGGTAATTGTCACGAATACTATGTCCAAGTTAACTCACCATGAGGCAGTTTAAGATCACCACCAGTCTGAGCTGTGCTCTGGGGGGGCTGTCCATCGCAGAATTCTCTCCTGTCATATTGGGAAGCCTGCTGGGAAGGTTCGGCTTTGGACCTGCCCGTGTTGCCAGGAACCCTTTATGCTCTGCTGTGTGGAGGCAGCTAAGCTGGTTGGTGTGAGAGGCATAAATCCTTTCTTAAGATTCTGGCTGTAGACTTCCTAACCGCAGATTTCAAGGAGCTAAGCTTTCCCCCAATATATGCAAAGCAATGGTTATGTGCATTTTTCCTATAGATAAATGATTGCCTGCTTTTGTCAAATTCTCAGAAGCCTTTATTATCTAAACTAAAGGTTAGGAACTTCTGCTCTTAATCTGGGTTTGAAATGTGGATTTGAGAAATTAAATGGTAAGAATATTTTAAAATTCCCAATCTGGGGATAATTAAAATTTTTTTAACCTGTTTCTTGTTTCTGTTTTGTCACTCATTTGCCAGAGTGAATGTCATTGTGCAAATTCTGACAAACTCAGAGGCCTCTCCTGATTACATACTAATTAGCAAGAATCTCAAAAGCATTTTGCTTTGAAAATGTTGAAAACAAGTCAGAAAATTGATTTCTCAAAAGTGTTTAACAGGTATGATTGGTGATTTCCGAGACACATTTTTGCCAAAGTACTCAAAATGTCAAGGAAATGTGGTTCTTTGTATATGGAAGTATTTATCTGTTTCTGCTTTTCCAGTTACTACTAAATGGTGTGTAGAAACTACTGGAGGGCTGTTACCTTATTGGTTTAATTGTAAGTACATTCTTCTTATTTTTTTTAAAAGGGTTGCAGGCAATATTTCAGGAAACATAATGTGTGCCCTTATCTAATTTTCCATTTTGTCTGCGTTCACAGTTCCAAAATGGGAAGGACGGGTGTGTGCTTGCAGTATTTCAGGACCAAGTTTCCAGCAGGAGAGATGGGAAGGTAATATTAGCTGCTTTAGGTTAGCTCTGTGGGGGAAAATTTTTCATTGAATAAATGGCAACATAACAAAACTGAAAACATCCATTCCAGTGTTTTATTGAAGGTAGAGGAGACGGTTGGGAATTCTTTCAGATATGAGAACATTTAAAGAGAGATTAGGAACTGTGGTGGTGAGAGCACTTAGGGCCGTGAGAGCATAGATGGCCCCTGGTGAAAAGCTGTGGAGCACAAGATGAGACAGAATAGGTAGGACAATGCAAGAAGGCTGCTGGCCTGCTCTAGGGCAGCCACGATGAAGGGCCAAAGCCGTGTGAGCTGGAGTGAGATCACCGCCTGTGAGCATGTGAAGAGCAAAGGCGAGGCCATGCAGCTGGCTGGCTGTGCTCTGGAGGGTTTTGTCAAATTGAGTAGCAGTTCCTCCTAGCAGATTGCAGTGAAACCCTGGCCTGGGAAAACGAATATGTGTCTGTCCCTCTCCCCGCACAGAAGCCTTCATAGAGCTGCTTGTGATTTTACTGGGAAGTCCTTCCTCTGGTCTTAACAGCAACCAAAGAAATAGGTCTTGCTTTAAACTACTTGGTTATACTTATCATTGAAAGCATGTATGCTTAGAGCCCATCTGTTACCCCCGTGGCTGGCAAGGCAGAGATGCCGGAGTGGCATCCACCAAAGCCAAGAGTCTGGCTTCCAGAGTGCTCGCTTCCAGAAGGTGAAGGAACGCTGGGGGCCGAACTGCAGATTTGGCTGGCAGCTGGGGATACGGTGCGTCCTTCCATGCCTTCTGTTCCAAAAGCATTTTTGCATAAGCTGACTTCCACCACGGGCTAAAAAGAGATCCCTCCAGAACTGAAAGAATATTGTTATTCCTTCCATATGGCACCGGTACTGTTATTCTAATATTACCCCAGTCTGAAAGCCCCAGCAGACATTTTCATTGCAATCAGATGCAATAACACATGGAAATGAGTGTCTTCAGTCAAAGGGTGAGTTTCATGTTTTTCAAGACTTGCAAATGGAGTCCAATAGCTCACTGGATGCACATGAAGAACTTGGAGGGAAGAGGAAGAAGCAGAAAATAATCAGCATTGGTGGTGGATTCTTGTTTTTTTCCTTTCATCATCCATGCTGTCTTTTGTGTGATCGTATGTCGCTATGGGAAATGGGTGCATTTCTCACAGGTGACCAAATTCATATTTTTTATACAGTGAATCACTCTAATAACTTGTTAGATTCATATACAAATATTGGAGTATAAGCAAACTTACACTTAGGACATGTTAGGCATCCTTTGTTAAGGTTAACTGGAAAACTGAAAAGCACAATATTAATCACTGTTTTAGCCACCACTTTGAATTAACTGTGTAGGTTATCTGCGTTGTCTCTTTGAGGCCCCCCCTCTTCGCCCCCATCCCTCTGCCATGCCTCAATCATCCCCCCTCCCCCCTTTGGCTTTTATTATATCCATCTTTCTGTGTTCTCTGTTCTATAGCTTGAACTGTTACCTCTCAGCAATGTCTCTGAAAGAGAATTCTGCTGGGAAAACGTGGACCTCTCTCATTTAGAAATGGCTCCCTGATGTTTTGGTTTCAAAGGCAAAGACTTGAATTATTCTCCTCATGAGTTATGGGAACACTCTGCTCTCCTTTTCCCAACGTCAAACTGCCAGGATTTCCAAGGCGCGTCCTGCTGAAAGCTGCATTCGTGGGCGATCCATATGTAATACTGAGAGACCGTACTTGTTTTGTGATTTGATAATGTGATTGTGAAAGCAACTGGGAAAAGGAGAAAGGCAAACTCAGGGCCAGAATGATGCTTGAAAAAGTGTCGAAGGCTGCCCAAGTGCAAGAGGAAGAGGTGGGAAGCCTCTCCCAGGGGGTCCAGGAAGCCCCCAAAGCATTTGTCTTTTACTGTCTGTCTGTTCTCTACTAGAGTTTCTTTGCCTTTACAGTAATATGGACTTCCACAGGGTTATGCCATATGGATTTTATTTTTAAAATATACCCTTCAGAGTAGATACAGTCCTTTAAACAATAGAAAATTGCAAGGTGTCCAGTCCATAAAGCACCTCCAAGAAAAGTTTATATTCTTGGTCCTCTGAAGAACTGCTTTGTAAGCTGGGGTTCAAAGAAGCCTTCTTGGATAATAGCTGCCACTTGTCAATATGGTTCAGAACGAGCCTCTTAATAGTCTTTCCATTTTTGCAGTGGTTCTAGTTTGTTAGCCTTGGCTCGCTAAGCCATTGGTGTTCCTCTCTCAGCAGAAGTTCAGTGCACATTAGCCATAGACGAGTCCCCAGAGGTCACCTGTGTTTCATTCTGTGGTAAGGAGCAGTCCTGCGGTGGTATTGGTGAGCAGGAGTCCGGGGCAGTTCTTCATTGACTGAAAGAAAACGTATCAGTTAACACGTTGGGAACAGCTGAGTGCCATTGGTCATTTACTACTTACTCACCAGTGGTTATTGTCCAGCATTTCTACACTGGTGGCCCCAGCAGTTATGGAAGTCTATGTCTTCTGAGCCAGTCCTATTGCAGGAGCTCTCCGTACCTTCTCACCCACTCCAACAACATGTAAATGCTTATTTCTAAAGAATGATCCTGGTTATGGTAGACAGATTACCATTTTTTAAAAAATTATTATATTTAAGTATATTTTATGTGTGGTAGATTAAGTGTGGAATAAACTTATTAAGATCAACATCCTATATAATAAAAGGTTAATATGCAAATCGACCAAACAGCAGAACAACCGGTCACTATGATGCACACTGACCACCAGGGGGCAGACACTCAATGCAGGAACTGCCCCTGGTTGTCAGTGTGCTCCCACAGGGGAGGGCCACTCAGCCACAAGCCCTGAGCTGGGCACAGTGGTGGTGGTGGGAGCCTCTCCTGCCTTCACAGCAGTGCTAAGGATGTTGGGGGGGAGGGAGGAGTGGCCTAAGTTGACGGGCAGACATCCCCCAAGGGCTCCCAGACTGCAAGAGGGTGCAGGCTGGACTGAGGGACACCCCCCTCTCCCTGAGTTACGAATTTCATGCACTACGCCTCTAGTAATCATTAAACATTTTCTAAGCAGGTCTCAGCCCAGAAGCTGGGAATATAGAAATGAGTAAGACAAGGTTTCTGTCCCTGCTCCCCTCACCCCACCCCGATTGCTTAAATGTGTTTTGGGCATTTATAGTCTTTTGACACGTCAAATTATTCTTCCATTTCCTTTTGGCAACTTTAACTGAAAGCCGATAGTTTCCAATTTTCACCATCTACACACTACTTAACTCCTTAAAATGTAACCTTAATTAAAGCTACTCTCACCAAAATATTAAAAACTTATCACCGATATCCTAATAGCTAAACCGAATGGCACTTTCCAATCCTCACTTTTCTTCCTCTCTAGCATTGGACATGAGCCATTCTCCATGCCCTGATCATTTTCCTCCCATTGGCTTTGTTATGTCCATCTTTCTGTGTTCTCTGTTCTGTAACTTTAACTCATAACCTCTCAGCAATAAGAGATTTGCTCTTTAGCTCTGAGAGGTCTCCTGAGATTCCAAAAGTCTCCCTTGAGATCTTCTTGATAGATCAAAAAAATTCATCTCTCTTCCTGACCGTCACCAACACACACAATTGAACCTGCTTTTTCACTCTTAAAAGTTTTATTTTTAGAATTGTAACTAAACAAATTATTCAAGCCAGAGACCAAGAGATTATAATCTCGTGGGAGATAATACATATTTATAGAATCAAACCTGAAGAGGTTCTTTTTGATCCCATGTCCAATCCAAGTAATTTATCCCTGCCAAACACTTTATATGCCAGGTAGCCCAGGACACGGGGGTTCTCTGAGGCCTTCACTTCTTGTCTTCCTAGTCTGGAGACACATGCATTGGATGGTGGCAGGCTGTAGGCTACATGGGCCTCAAGGTTTAATATCTAATATTTCTTGAGCAGTTATTATGTGCCAGACACTGTGAAGCCCCTTGCATACCTTGTAAGTCAGCATTTTTTTTTTTACTTTACAGAGAAACAAATTGATGCAGAGAGTAATCTAGTGAAGCAATTTGCCCAAGATCACAGAAACTGATGGACTCAGGATGAGATCCCAGACAATTTGATTCCATAGCCACTCAGTTACACTGTCTTTCCACATAGATTATTGCTAGTTCAAAGGTATTGCTTGAGATGGCCCCTGCTTATATTAAAAGCTCATTGGAATATGAGTAATTCCTTTCCTTTTACTCTTAATTACCAAAGGCTATACTGTATGAACAGTGCTGTGAATGAGGAATCAGGATGCAAATGGGTGACCTGAATAGTGGGATTGAAGGACCTCTAAGGTAGAGAGACACCAAGAGGAAGCTTATCCAGCAACAATGAGCTATCTATCTAGGAAATAAAGTGTTTGTGCTGGCACAATGCAGAGAGCAGAGGAAAATAATTTTCTTCTAAAAGAGCTTGCAATTTGGCCATCATTTTATTTCAGTGGGCCTATAAGGAGAATGCAGAGAGAAATTAGACAGGAGAGGTTAGGCAGGCAGCCTTGAAAATCCCTGTTTGCAATTGTGAAAAATTCTACAAGTAACTACTTTTTCTCTTGGGGCCACAGGTAAAGAAATGTGATCTTTTTGACTCAGGGCTTTGTCTTCATGCTTAGGAATAAATAACCACAATCAGTAATTATAATTACTCCTGTTACATAAAAAGACTGATAAAATCCTTTTAAAGCTTTTGTAAAATTTTTATCTTGTTGCAAATTCTCCTAGTTGTTTTTCATATTGATGACTGATTTATTTGTCTCGGATAAAAGGATTCATTCACTCAACAGATTTCTATTGAACACTGATTCCATGTTCAATACTCCAAGGGTATTGGCTAAGAGGGCCAGCTCCGGATTGGGCTGGCCAGGATTCAAATTCTGTCACTACCACTTTTTAGGTGAATGACCTTGGACAATTTCTTAATTACTACAAGATGATTTCAATAATATTTATTATTATAATGACACAAACACTTCCTTTTTGAAATTTATAAGCCAGCAGAGGTAATAATGACTAATAATAATTGTTAAGCACAGGCACTCTTAAGAATCACATATATGTCACCTCACATAATCCCCACACCAACCCTACAGTTATTTCCTGCTATTATTTCTATTTTACAGATGGAGAAAAAGTTTCCAGAGGTTGAGTGGCCATTGTTACAGAACTAGAATTTGAAACCCATTTAGTTTGACTTCGTAGTCTGCGCTCTTAACAATTTCACTCTGCTAACTCTTAAATTATTCTGATTTTCCCAATACTTCTTTTCCATTAGGATTTCTGACTACTAAAACATATATATGAAGTTCAGTGAAAATTGTCTAGCCACCCTGTGCATTTTTAATACTTGAATTGTTTGTTTTAGAGTGTAAGTTGCAAAAAGCCAGAATCTGCTCACTTCCTTGATCTTATTTTGGATTTAATGCCATATAAAAACTTTAAGGTATTCGGTAGACACTTTTTAAAATAATAAGAATTTTGGGGCAATGTTGGATATTTTTTAGAGCAATTCGTTCTCGATCAGAATGATGGTATTTTAGGGACAAGGAGTGGCACTAGAAATATAAGTTTAGGAATCTCAGGATTTGGGGAGACAAGACAACCAGAAAAGAACTTCAGCTTTACAAGACATGAGATGAACATGGCATGTTTGATAGAGGAATTGGCAATGGCAAGTTCAAGATTCAGACCTCTACCTCAAGAGCTACTCCTCAAGGCAGTTGACAAATTGAAGAGTACAGGATGTTAGAGAATTTTCTTTCTTCCTTTGTGAGAAAATTGATGTTCTCTACATACTAATTAAATTTATGTGCACCATTACCTCCCAAGTGCTGGCAGTGTAGGGATTAATGTTGAATAATTACTGTACCTCCACATGCTTTCCATCATGTCTTAAAATGCCTCCCCTGTCTGACAAACTAGTATGCATGAGGCAGGCAAACTGATTTCCTATTTCAGAATGCAGGAGTGAGGGGTCCTGTGAACACACTAGTTAATCTGTCACTGTCCCTTTCTTTACAGGTACAAAATAGGAATGATTACACTTGCCATAATCCTGGTTGGAAGATTAATGATGTGACATTTGACCATCTGTTTACAGTTTTAAGAGGGAGCTGCTAAATAGAGATATTTTATTTGGGGCCAAGTGATCTCATTTGTCCTCAAACTGGAGAGAAGGTGGTCCAGTCATCTTGGTAGTCCTCTCTTAGCATCCTCCAGATGGCTCCTTGGCAGGCCACTAGTAACAGAGCACTGAGCCATTAGTTCTCTTTCCAGCAATGAACTTCAGATTGGACCATCAAGACATCAAAGAACTGATGCACAGAGTTTTGTTAGCTCCCTTTACCTCCTCAGCCCTCTTTCTATTTTCCTTATCTGTAGTCCAGAAGGCTAGGCAGACTTCAGTGAGAGCCCATGGAGAAGAACCACAGTAAATGGAGGTTCATTACTTCGCTGAGATGCCCCTTAGCTGTTTAGAGGGTCCTACCTCTGGCCGGAATGTTCAGCTTTAACTTTGAAACAAGACTTGAGGAGAAAGGGCAGGTCATTCTTACAGCCCTTTGATTAGACATGAACAAGGTCAGAGGCAGAAGAATACAGATTTGCAACATCTCTCCTCCAACTAATGATTTTGGCAGATGCCTTTTGTAGTTCTCCAGAACTGAGTTTGTTTTATTTCCATCCTGCAAGCCCATAGGAAAAATCTGTTCCAGTATTGAGGAAAATTCCTGGTATATGGTAGGTTCTCAAACATTTGTTGAATGAATAAACAAATGAATGAATACATCTCTTCCTATCCAGAAGAATAATGCAAGTTTGGAGCAAGGTTGGTGAAAGGGCTACCCAGAGAGCATTATCTCTCATCATGTGAGGCTGACCTTCCTATCCCGTGGGTAAGTGCTTTGTTGCAAAACATGGAGACTTTGAGAGGGATGGGACAGACCCATAATTTAGCAAGACTAAAAGTCAAGGAAAGCTCAGTAGTATATCAGAATTTAGAATGAAAAAGAAGAAAATGTGAAGAGACAACAGGTCTTTGGGGCCTTCTACTACTTTCATTGAAATGCTTCAGAAACAGTTCCAATTTGATTGAGCTACAAACTTAAGGTGATACTTTTTGTTTAAGATGTGGTTTCTAGACAACTTACACAGCAAGGGATGCGTGGAAGACAAGGTGTCGTGGTGAGGGGTCACAGTGATGTACATATGGAGCACTTCCTCTGGGTCTGGGCCTGGGCCTGGGCCTGGGCAGCACCCTGCCTGCACTTTCTCCTGCCTCAGCCCCCTGAGATGCCAGGCTACACTCGGAAGGGCAAGTTGACTTTCCTGGGCATTCTGAAGGGATGGGATTGATATGTTTATATCTCAGAATTATCTAAATAAGTAAAATACTGTAGATCCATTTCAATTTTACAGATTATAGGTATTTCCCCTCAAATATCACCCAGGGATAAAGCTATAAAATAAAAAAAAATAAAAATTCATCTTTTTTTTTCAGTTTGTTCAAATACCAGCTGTCCTGCCAAATGCTGATTGATCTGACCTATAACAACTGATAAGTAGAGGCCAGTAAGAGACTTTGGAACCCATGTGATTATCTTGTCCTGCTGTTTGCCTCATTTAATGCTTGATATATTTTGGAGATATTAAAAATTTTATCTCGCCAAAGAGGCAGCCGGACTTGGAAGTGACATGAGCATCCAAGTCCCTGACTGTGATATTGGCATCCTATTACTGCTCCGCAGGGTGCTCCATGTCAGTGGGCGCCTGGCATGCTTGTGACTGACAGTAACCATTGCAACAGCTTGAAAAGACCTTCAAAGGGGAATGCTTGCAGTGGCCAGGCATTAAACCTACTTGGAAGACTCTGAAGGTCGCTGTAATTAGGAGCTTGGGGTTTTCCAATTTTCCTTTTTCAGAGGCTGTTTTCCAGGGCTCAGTGGTGTGAGTGGCGGGTAGCAGACATCCAGAAGACTGGTCTTGGGGGCAGTGGACTTAATAAAGAAAAGGATTTATCACACGAATGCTGTGAACAAGGCAGACTACAGCTGGGCCACTCAACGAGAGAGCTGTTCATTAAAATGAGATGCACAAAAATGAAAGGCTGAGGGGATATTTGAGTACATGATGATTGGAAACTTATGATTCTATAATGTACTTTCTGTCCTCTAGGATTTTTTTATGTTCTGAATCTCATAAAAATAAATATCCCCAGTTGCACCTCTATTTGGTTTTAGATCATATGTGATCACATTCAATGTTCTGAACATCTTTTATATAATAATATCCATGGATGCATTGCTTAGACTTGGTAAATTTTTGTGGAAGAGAAAGGATTTTAAATATTTTTTTAGTACTTTAATACAATACCTTCTAACTTAAGGAATATTATTGTTTTTTTGTTGATCTTGCTAAGATAGCTATTAACCTGTGTGGTAATAATCTGTTGTTTGCTGCGTGCACTGTTGGCATACAGTCTCACAAGTTACAGTCCAGCCTCATTCATTTCAGTTACAGAGGAATAAAGAGTCTTAATCCAGGACCCAACTGCCCACATCTAAATCACTTTACGCTTCCTGAGGGTTTTTTGTTTGATTGGTTGGTTGGTTGGTTATTTTGGGGGTTGGTTTTTATTTTTACCTTAGGTCTACAGCCTCATGGAAAGTTTACACCAAGCCATCAAATATCTATTAGGGCTTGACATTTTGCCAAGCACCACAGTGTTGGGCCCATTTCCTTCCTAGAATTCAGTGGCTGAGAAAGAAATGTGTGTGCACACTCACAGACGTGTATACATATGTTTGTCAGGTAGAGAAAGCAGAGCATGAAAAACGTCTTAATGCTCGTGAATTGATGCCCTGAGAGACAGAGACAACCAATCACACATGAAAATTGCTGAGTCACAGTGTGACTGCCTGTGAGAGGTGCCGTTAAGGGGTCCCCACAGCGGGCCTTCGGAGCCTGGCGCGCGATTCCCACTCCTGAAAGGATCAAACTTGGCCACATTCAAACAGTGAAGCTATCCTGAGGGGCACTTCTTATGTACCTACAAATCAGAGATGGGTGCTCCAGGCCTCCCAGAAAACACTGGCCTTGCATTGGCCTGTTCCAAAGATGTGAAATGAGGAAGGACTTCCCACCCCTGCCTGCGTGGCTCACACTCACCCTCCATCAGTTTGACCCTGAAGTAGGCAATGAGAAGGAGCAGCAGCAACGCCACCGGCAGGAAGATCCCAAAGACCAGGAACCAGCCTGGGAGCTCCCGCAGGAATGCCCGCAGCACAGGGCTCATGGCCAGTCGCACAGACCCTGCCGGCCCAGTGGGTTGGCGCTGGCGACGAGAGCAGCGTGGCTCAGTCCGCACTTGTTTTTTTTCTGGGAATCGGCCTTTGCTCAGCACATCTCGGTGGAACTTTTTGTGGACTTTGCTCTGTTTAAATAGCCCCGTGAATTCTGAGAGGATTGCTCGCAGGTTACTCTGTAACTCAGCTGCATAGGGCAGAGGAATTCAAAGGTGATTCTCCCACACCATTCCGGAGATCTGCCAGGTTGGAGATAGCAGGAGCCTTAGATTTCTTTGTGTTCAGTTTATCTGGAATGAAAAGTTCCTGACCTCAAGCAAACCACATCCACACACACATTCAATGTATGTATTCCCTGACATAGGAAGAATTTTCTAAATTTTTAAATTTTAGAGCTATAAATGACTTAGTAACCATGTTAATATACCTATGAACTTTTGTAAAATATTGAGTTTTCCTTTTTTACAATAGTTGACACAATCTCAATGAAGGAGAAACAAATTCTTTCCATATGTAAAAATCTTCTTAGTACATCTTGCTCTGAATGCTTTTCTGAGAGGTGCCCTCATGTATTCATTTATTCAACAGACATATAATTCTACTAGAATAGAATCCAACCTCTGGATTAGATATTAGGTGTGCAAAGGAGAGTAAGTCATAGTCCCCTCCTCTGAGAGTGGAGACGGGCATAGAGATAATGGGTACAACTGATAACGATGGTAACCTGGCCCCTCCTCCTCCTCCTTTTGATCCAGGAGTGTTCGCTTCCTGCAGTAGGACTTTGAGCTCTCAGCTCCCTTCTGCTCACACATTCCTGATGCCAACCATTAGCAGCAGAAGGTGGGCCCTAAAACATAGTGATGTGGGCTGTGTGGTAACCACAAAGTTTCTGGGAAAAGAAAAGGTAATGAACTATGTTGGCATTGACTTGCTAACTAAGTCAAATTGGCATGGACTGCTTTAGTGAACATTTTTCAAAGATGCCAATCTACTAAGTGAAAACTAACTCAAGAATTGCTTTCACATTGAAAGGATCTGTTGGTGAAATTGTAAAATTTTGGTGGGAATCTGCCTTCTTGGGTTCATGCCTCTTCGCAGGTTCTAACCCTGTCTCCCACCTCCACTTGGCAGCTGTGTTGGTGAGTGGCAGACGGGCTATCATGAGCATGCTGCTGTCAGTGCCTCCTGGATTCTGTCATCAGGGATTTTGCATGGTCATGCTGAAGTGGGTTCCCTAATTTATAAAATAAGAAGAATGGGGTGGGTCTTGAAAACGCTTGGCTGGCATTCCCGGGCAGTAAATAATAGCAAACAGCTTCCTCTCAGAAGAGAGACGTCTTAATTTCAGAAAGAGGCATTTAGAGCCCCGAAGATTAAGTCAGCATGCACACTTTATTTACTTCTCCCACTCCACAAGCCTCTGAGTGTGGTGCTGCTATCCCCTAGTGTGCCTTCCAATGAGATGGCTCTCTGGTGCTCTTTCAGCCGGAATAGGATGCTAATTTGTAAAGTGCCAATCTGCTCATTTGAACAGGTGACATTGCCAGGGAGATGCTAGGCAGCTGTTAGGCAGACTGTCATGTTCTTTCTCTTTTATCCCATTCAGCAAGCCTTCATCGAATGCTTGGACAAAGGTAAGTGATGAGAGAGGAACATGCAAATACATATATACATGACAATAATGGAAGCTCCCAGACTGGCATATCGGCAAATGCAAAGGAAGCACTGAAAAGAGACTGATTAATTCGTTAGGGAATTGGGCCAAGTTCATTAAAAATGGAATTTGAGCTGAATCTTTGACAGTGGGGCCAGGCAGGGCTTATGGAGGATAGGAAAGAATTGAGAGTGACTAAATGATACGGTTCTCGGGCCATAGAGTGTCTTCAGGGGTGGAAAAGGAGAGTGGCATCAAAGCTTACAGCCTTTTTTATTTTATTTTTATTGATTTTTTTACAGAGAGGAAGAGAGAGGGGTAGAGAGTCAGAAACATTGATGAGAGAGAATCACCAATAAGCTGCCTCCTGCACTCTCCTCCCCCCCCCCCCCCGGGGATGTGCCCGCAACCAAGGTACATGCCCTTGACTGGAATCAAACCTGGGACCCTTCAGTCCACAAGCTGACACTCTATCCACAGAGCCAAACTGGTTTCGGCGCTTACAGCCTGAATGCCCTACTGAGGATTTGCTATTTAGACACAGGGAACTAAACAATGGTCTTTGGTCATGGAAGCGTATGATCTGACCTGGTTCAGGAAGTACTTAGGTAGCTCTTGAGAAAATGAACTGAAGAGAGATCAGAGTAGGTTGTCTCAACATGGTTTTAAGATGGAATGAGACCTAGGTAGGGGATGGCAATGAGACCTAGGTAGGGGATGGCAAAGGAAGGGAAAGAGGGGGACAAGCAGTCTGCAGAGATAACATGAACAGTCTTTGGTGAATAATTATACCAAGTTGGTAGATGTCGCCAAGGATTCTAGCAATCATTGAGCATTCACTCTGTACCAGACACTTTATGTTTATTGAGAGGGCAGGGCGGGCAAGGATAAACTCCTGTCTCCACTGTGGGGAAGGATGGAGTTATCCTCCATTTTGTGTAACTGGAACCTGGCCCTCACCTAACCAATCAGGGTCAGCCAAAGCAGTGACATCACCGGAGTAAAACCCCGGGGCTTGGCGAAATTTGAGCTCTTCTGCCATGCTCTCATTCCTGAGTGGGACAGAGCCCATGCTAGCATGGAAAAGGCTCTTTTGTTTGTTGCATCGGACTCGTCTCCCTGGTGGTCCTTGGGGATCACAAAGTCTGGGCATAACATTTATTATTTTGTTTTTTACAGTACTATTATGAGAAAGACTCATTATGCAGACAAAGAAGCAAGACACTGAGAGATTAACACAAGACATATATTTACTAAGTCACAAAGCTAGGATTCAAACCCAGAGTCCATGCTCTCAGCCAGTGTTCTGTGTCTGGCTTGGGTGCCTGTAGATAGTGCTACAAACCTGAACGCAAGTGGGACAGTGGGTTTGGGTGGGGGAAGATTTATAGTATTGCCTCAGGTGATGTAGAAATGTTCAAGGTAAACCTGGTGGAAATACAGAGTTCAGAAGAGAAGGCTGGTTTGTAGTACAGATTTAGGAGTTGTTAGTCCCGTGATGGCTGGAGTCAATGGGGTGGAGATATTGCTCAGGAGGAGTACATGAGCATAAGTGAGAAACCAGCTGTAGACCCTAAAGAGTGCTCTCACTCAAACATGGGAGGAACGATAAGAATCAGGAAAGAAAACCAAAAAGAAAGCTCTGACAGATGGCTGGAGAAACTCAAAGGAAGTATGTTAGAAAAAGTGGTAGCAAAAGAAAGTTCTAAGAAAGATCAGGTGGAAAGTGGTATCATTGATTAGATCTGAGGTAATGCTGAGCTACATGGAGAGTTTCAAGAGAGCATAATCTTTGAAGTGGGCTTAAATGTTGCCTTTCTCCTTTATTCCTCCTCTGCCCCCTCCTTTCTTTCTTCTTAAAAGGGGCTTTTGTGGTATAATTGACATAATAAGCTGTACAAATTGATATTTTTTGATGTCTGTATATATGCCCAGGAACTAATCACTACAATCAAGTGATCAACGTATTCATCACATAAAAGTTCTCTGGTGTTCCTTTTCTATTTCTGTCCCCCACCCCTCCTCTCCATCAGTCCTCAGTCAACCACATCTCTGTTACTATATGTCATTTGCATTTTGTAAAATTTTATGTGAATAGAGTCAGATAGTATGTCACTTTTTCGTCTAGTTTCTTTCACTCTGCATAATTATTTTGGAATTCATCCATATGGTTGTGTGTATCAAAATGCATTGCTTTATAATTGAATAGCAAGCATTTCATAGTATTAACAGCTATTTGTTTGCCTATTTACCTATTGATCAACATTTGGGTTATTTCTCATATAGGCTACTACAAATAAAGTGCCCGGACATTCCTGTATAATTCTTTATACAGACATGTTCTCTCTGGCTGGATCATAAGGTAGGTAAGTGTGTGTTTAATTTTTTTTTAAAGAATTTGTCAAACTGTTTTCTCAATGAATTATACCACTTTATATCTGCACCAGCAGTGTTATGAGAATTCTAGTTCCTTTATACATTCAATAACACTTGGAATAGTCAGTCTTTCTATATTAGCCACTCCAATGATATGTAGTAGTATCTCATTGTAGTTTTAGGATGCATTTCCCTGAAGATATTGAATATCTTTTCATGTGCTTATTTACCATTTTGTGTATCTTATTTGGTGAAGTATCTGTTCAACATTTTGACCATTAAAAAAAAATGGGTTGTTTTCTTTTTTTAGTTTTGAGAGTTCTTTATATATTCTACATAAAAGTCAAGTATCAGATATGTGATTTGAAAGAATTCTTTTCCAGTCTCAGTTTTGTTTTATATTCTCTTAACAATGTCTCCTAAAGCACAGTGGTTTTTCGTTTTAATGAAGGCCAATGAACCAATTTCTTCTATGGATTGTGTTTTTCATGCCTAAGAAATCTTTGCCCAACTCAAGGCCATAAAGACTTTCTCTTGTGTTTTCCTCCAAAAGTTTCATAGTTATAGCTTTTAGGTCTATAAGCTATTGTGAATTAATTACTTTGTACATGGTAACAGATATGAGTTAGAGAACTTTATGTGTTTATTTTTGCTGATGGATATTTGATTGTTCCAGCACTATGTGTTCAAAAGACTGTCTTTGCTCCTAAATTGCCTTTGCACCTTGTCAAAAATCAGAAATTCAATTATGTGTGGGTGTATTTCTGCACTCACTGTTCTGCTCTATTGATCCAATTGTTTATCTTTGCACCAGTACCATTCTGTCTTGATTACTACAGCTTTAAAATAAGTCTTGAAATTGGGCATTGTTAGTCCCCAACTTTGTTTTTATTTCAAAGTTGTGTTTGCTAGTATAGATCATTTTCATTTTCATATGAGCTTTCGAATTAGCTTACCAAT